CCTAGAATAGTCAACACCAAGCATATGAAAAACTCCACCTACAAGAATAAAATACATACAGTTTGCAACAGAATCATGAAAAGGATCTTCTTTATAAATTGAACATGCGGAAAGTACTTCAACAATGAAGAATGACAGTGAATATATATTGATTTTAATTCTTTTTCTGATTGACCACACATACCTCTGAGCAATCAAATAGAGGAAGCAACCCGAGTAGAGTGTAACACGGATTTCGGTGAGGGACCCATCGCTCCAGATGAAGATTAATAGGATCATGTTATCAACCCGGCGTTCAAACACGAGGTCCAGAATCGTGGAAACTCAATGACCGAATCAAAATAAGTCTCGAGGTAGAACACCAAGTTGAGGCACGGGTCATTGCTTGCCTGCAGCCATGCCTTAACACACCCGCATGGCCCCCAGCCATCAGTCTGCCAAAGCAAGCGCAAGAGGATGTTAATGAGGCACTCGTGAGTTAAATTGGCCAAACCATGAGAGAGTTCTCCTGAGTCGGTTATTTTACCTTCTTTGTCGTCATCCTTTTTAAAAGATAATAACACAGTGGATTGATTATGATTATGTTAAAATTGAGTTAATTGTTCCAATGATCACTGAAGTTATGTATATGTTTTCGATTGTTCATTAAAGTTTAAGATGTTGAATTTTGGTCCCTAAATTTTGAAAAACGTTAGACGTTACTTTTTGGCTAACTTCCGTTTCAAATATCTAACCGAATTGTTGACGTGGTTGACGAAATGCTGCAGTTGTGGTGCCCCAGCACACTATTAAACTTTAAGGTGATCGAATTTTGGTCACTAAATTTTGGAAAAAAAAATATTTCTTCAATTGATTTCAAAAATATTTCAAACTTCATCCTTGAGAGAGAGAGTTTTTTTTTTTTTTTGCTATCTTTATTGATTTCAAATACATAGGCATATGATATTGTATCCTAGTCTACAAGGATATGAAAGCAACGAGAGAGAGACTTTTTTTTTTTTTTGCTATCTTTATTGATTTCAAATACATAGGCATATGATATTGTATCCTAGTCTACAAGGATATGAAAGCAACGTCTCCACCCTTCATAAATGGATAATCTCTCATCGTAAATGGCCGATCACCACTTGAGAAGAATGTGAAGTCTTTATGTGAGAAATTCATGTAATCATCAAAAAATAAGTAAGATTATTCAATAGTGAATTTCTAGAAAATGCAAATTTATTGTCAAGAAAGCGAGAACATTATCAAAGGATAAATATTTTACAAAAATAATGATACAATATTGAACACGATCACTCACAAGCAAGCTAAAGAAAACACACTAAAATTACATGAAACTCTCGAAAAACATGACTTCCACTAAATTGCATTACACACGACACCCATTATTGACGCAATAAGAAAGCACTCTAATATCCTCAATAAACCTTCTCTTTTTGGTGATTCGAAGTTATCCTTGACACACAAGATATTTACAGAAACAACATTAAATAGATCAAAGCTTTAGTATTATGACACTAATCATCAATGAGTGCTATCAATTTAAATTCGAACACATACACGAAGCATTAGCAGCCATTAATTTTGTAATATATGTTTATCACATTATATAAATACATGCATGACACATACTCGTGCAAAATAATCATAACATCTTGAATTATGAATGACTTTTGTTCAAAAACTCTTATCCCATCTTTTTGTATTTGGTAATCTTAATTGGATATGACAAGTAAACATTTTGTAACAAATCACTCAACTAAATTCAATAAAATCTACTCCAACTTACTAAA